AAATACCCTATATCTCGGATAAAATAAATATGACATTAAAGATATTCTCTATGTTAGCAATATGTTGTAGCCTATTTGGGAACACTCTCGCACATAATTCAAAATCCTCTATTAAGCTTTTCCACACCCTTATTTTCATATCATCGCACAGTCCTTCTTCCCAGCCCTATAGAGAATCACATGAAATAAACCTTCATCACAGCGTTCATGGATCTTCCATTTTCATGTGTAATATTATTTCTGTGCCTGCCAGCCATGTGAACTGCAGGGGCTGCATGCAGGGTGGCTGTTTTTATAAATTACGCTCCCTCACCTGATCTTCCCTATATAGAAACAGATAGTTATATTCTATTTATGCCTTAGCCAGGCTTGTTTGTAATGCAATCAAAAAGCATTTCATGGAATTTGTTGTGGCACTGCACCTCTCAAGACCACACGCACCTAAGCTGTGCTTATGAACAGAAATATCTAATTTCACATGATTATTTCCTGAAAGAGTTTCTAGATTATGTATATTATCACATCTCAGTGTAGTAGTATTCACTCAATGTCATTCTCTTCTTGCTAGTGTTTCCCTATGGCTGCATTCGTTTATTTGCTGAAAAACTTGTCTTGCTTTGTTAGTATTTCCAGCTATGCTTTCCTCACTATTCTTCATATGTTGAAGAGAGAGAGATTTTAACTGGTTATTTTTACTGAGACACTGTCACCCAGAAATTGCAATTAAAAAACCCAACACAAATTTGAGTGTAAAAATACTTCCGTCTTCAAACTGTAGCCCTATATTTTAGGTTAGTAGTACGGTTAAACAAGCAACAGTTTTGTACCTTATGTAATGCCATTAGAGTACTCCCAAAAACAAAGTTGATTCTCCCGTGCTAATTCAGTTTGATGTATTTCCCTCTAACAATAATATGCCAATCTTAAAATTATATTATTTTTCATGATAAGACCATGTTCCATAACTACTGTAAAACTGATAAAGGTATTAAGGAACAGTCTGTTTCAGGATGTTATTATATTACATTAAATAGTCAATGAAAAGGACAGAATGTCAGCAGCTATAATTTAACTGTATGCATGCCATTTTATATAATATGAGGATAATACTAATAGGCTTTACATAGTTTTTAGAAGTCTTTCTTTCTCACTCCATGGATAATTTTTGTATGGTTCATTCAATAAGATTAATTGCAGCAGATCCATTCTAATAGAAGACTTACCAGTGTTACTATACAACCCAAAACCCCGTCCTCCATATAACTACTACTGGGTCCAGTATTGCTCTGCTTTCTAATTCTTGTATAGAACGTCAACCTCATACTCAGAAAATGAATCTGACATTTAAAAAAAAAAAAAAAAAGCTTTTTTAATGGACTCAAAATCACGCAGAATTCTTGTAATTACACTGGTTTAAAACTTCTGGGCATCACAAATGATATGCTCAGCCACACCCAAGCATTTTGTCATAAGTTACTATCATTACTGTAAGCTATCGTAAGTACCAGGAGAGGCTGCAGAACCATATTGTACATATCAGAAAAATTCCAAAATGTCACTATTTTATCATGTACTTAGCTTTCCTTTCACTGAACTATGTCAAATCCAAGCAGTTCAGATTGCGCAAAGAACATTTAGTAAAGATTACAAAATGTGTAGGTATCTACCCCTCAGAAAACATTAACTTTTATTGCAGATTTCTGCTGTAACAAGCATGATTTATAAAAAAAGATCAACTACTTTTATGGATGTACATCTTCTAGTTGTCCTTTTTTTGTTACTCTAACTGTTTCCATTACTGTCAATACAAAGCACTCTTTGTGCTAGCATTTCCTCTTTGATCTATCTGCAAATAAAATCTAAATGCTCCTGCAACGCCAATTATGAAGGCAGAATGTTTGCTTTCTTTCAGATGCTCCTTTTAAGTTAGCAATCCTATACTGAACCAATACCTTAAATTTGTATTTTTATGGGAATGTTCATGCCTGTCCATAATTATTATGCCACTGATGTGGATTCCCGTGAGGCATGTGTGGCATAAAATAAACTGCTGTCACTGAGTGCTTGAGTTTCTTATCTATTGGAAGTCCTGAAATGGCACATCTGATCATGCTTAAGACAGTTGTTTAAGCTGATGGATGTATATGTGAGAAAAAAATGGATTGGTTTTGAACCAAGAGAGTTTGGAAAGTCCGGCGCGAAAAGGAACAGGAAACTTAAACTAGGAAAAGGAAGTAAAAAAAGAGAAGATAGAGAAGGAAACAAACTTAACAGGAGAGATTTTTAAGCAATGGGTCTGAATAAAGAAAGTACTACCGTAGGGAGGAGGAAAATAATTTTATCCTTCAATAAGTCAGAATTTGCTAGTCCACAACCTTTAAGGTATAACCCACTTTCTGCAAGTGAGCCATGTCTCCATATTTACCAAAAAAAAAACAAAAAACCAAACAGACTAATGCTATATTTTGTTAAATTTAAATTACTTTAATGTGGGTTCACATTTGATTTTACATTTCTACAAACATCTTTAAATTACAAGTTCATTAGGAAACCAGCACACTTAATTTGCAGTCACAGCAATACTTCTAGATGATTCAAAACCGTACAAAAATAAAATCACAGTAGTGCCATCTTCTCTTTCTGTCTCTTCACTACAGTACTGTCTCTCACAGAAAATACTGATATCAGCATCAGAGGAAATGGTCAGCAGTCATCCAGATCAGAAGTTAGGACAGTGCTCTCAGGACAGGAGGCAGGATGATCAGAGAGGGAGCAAATGAGAAGCTTCAGAAGAGATGGTAGCTAAAAAAAGCCAGGGAAAGATAAAAAGACAGAGAAAGATAATAAGATGGGACAGGAAAAGAAAAAACAAGCAGGAAATACACAAAAAATAGTGACAGTAACAACTGTACTTATTTTATAAATGGTACAAGAAGAAGACAAATAAAGGTGAGGAATAAGGCTATTCTTAACAAATAGAAAGGTTTACAGAAAAGACCCAGCATGGCTTAGTTACCCCTCTCCTCTGGTGACAGTCCACTCACTTCACTTTTAGTTTAAGCTAGGCAGTTAAGGCAGAATTCCTGTGAAGCCAGTAGACTGAAACGGGCACCTCCAGAGGGCGATTCATCCCATCCTAAGGCTTAAATCTCAGACTCTGAACCATATCTTTGGAATGTTATTAATTTCTTGACGTTCACTAGGTTTCTGTGAGCATAGGTAGGCTGAATACTTATAGGTAACGACACTAAGATTAAAGTAATACGAAAGAGAGCACATTTTCAACTTTCTTTATTCCGAACAAGCAAAATTTACTAACAGCTTTCATCTGCACAGAATATGCAGTATGTTTGTGTCGTGGGTTTTTGTTGCAGTTGTTTAATTATTATTACCAAACATTAATATATTGAGCACAAAAAAAGAATTCTGATCCAGTCAAAATTAAGTTTGCTCTTCTGTTGGGCAAATCTATGTACTACCAGAGACTTAAGCTTAACTCCTGTAATCTAAAATCAAAGCTTGGCATGACTGGGATTCTATATTCCCAAGATTAAGAATGTGATTCAGGAAATACCACATGTATCTGATACTTACAATGGCACTGCTGATATTTCAGTCATTTGCGACTAAATTCAGTGATTATTTACAAATAGGATACTTAGATTGTAATGATTACTTTAAATGAGCTATAAAGACAGGAGTCAAGGGTGAAGGAGTGGTTTTAATGTTGATATATGGTCCTGTCTGTGTGCAAAAGCTCCAGGAGCAAGTTTGAAGGCATAAGCCTTTTATCCCACGTACACCAGATTGCCAGCCCTGATGCAAAAGCAAGACACTGCTCTTAGAGAACTGCAGTACCAAACCATAAATAGTGAGAAAAGAGGATGGCAAAGGGAGCTTCCTCCTGAGCACTGCTCTGGGGAATGTGCAATGCACCCCAACAGGACAGTGTTCACAGTGTGCACTTTTTTGCATAGCAAGTCTGAGCCATAATCCATACCACCACCGCCACACCATAATTCATACCACCTTGGAGATGTATGCATGTAATGGTCTTGCAATTTACTCTATGTTTTTAATGACTATTTCAGGATACAGTCACCCCAATCCTGCCTATTATGTAAGAACAACGTGGATCTGTCAATGCAATTAAAAAGATGTCTTTAAAACCTAAATATTACCCTGCTTGAAATACGATTCTGCACTGAAGAGTTTACATCATCTAAAGAATGACAGACCTTTGATGGAAAATAGTACAACGCTAATGAAAACAACATAATGATAGCAGCTAAATTGAACATACAACATGAAGCCTGTTATCTAGAACTTCCCTAAGTTGTGTCTGCTTTTAATTTCAATTTCCTTTTTGAATGAACAGAGCACAGCTACATTAGTTTTTCAGTCTTCTTACCGTTACTGGGTGCCCTTACAGACTGCTGTCCAAATTCTCCTGTGCAATGGCACAGACACTACACATGAAAATGAATCCTGTAACACAGCAATTTGTAGTGTAATTCTTACGAAGGCCTGTATCTTTCTATTAGTAGAAATTAATACTGAGCTGTTCTACCTTCCAAGAAGTAGATGTTATCACCCAAAAATTAATTGTGAATTGGCACCGTAAGTGCTGTCCTTGCACCACCCATTTCTGTTCCCAGTTTTGTAGGGATGCACTCTGCCGTGCATCAGCTAAGGGCTCAGTGACAATGTAGTGGTGCTCAGGTGGACAGCTGAGGTGTTTTATGCATAGCACCGAGTGAATGTAAGAAAACAGGAGGTTTGTTTAAAAATAAACAAGTTTTTAGCATTATAACTCATGAAGACCAGAACTACTCGTTATATAAACATTAATTGTGCAGTTAAAAAAAAAAACATACTTTCCCAATTTACTCTGCTTTAAGGCCATATATACTCTTTAGAAATATGCAGACATACAAATGAACAAACTAATGAATTAAACCTCTTTTGCCATCTTCCTGATTTATGTTATTTTATTACAGATCATGGATGAAATCCGTACACTGATGTCTAACCTGTAACAAAGGCTCATGTGAGTAGTCTGTTGATCTATATCTACATTTGCTTATGAAGTGACTTTGCCTAGTCCGGTTGAATGATTATAAATTAGCAGTTAGAGTTTATGTGTTTATATTTTTATAATATATTTTAATATATTTACAGTTTCCTGTTCAGTCTCACTTTCCATTTAAATTCTGACCAACTGATGTAGAGATGGATAAACCTCTTCTGGATTTAGACAATCACTTATATTTCACATTGCTCTTTGAGGATGGTATATAAAGTATTGGCTATAAGTGTTCCATCTAGAAAGAACAGCCTCGAACATGGTGTGGACAAGAACTTGACAAAAAAAAACAACTTGAAAAACGAGGCTAATTTTCACTTCCATCGTTATTACAACAAGGTTTTGCACAGAATTTTTGCCACCGTTCAGTGTTACAGCCTTTCTGTATGCTGTCCTCTGTCCCAAATGCCAGTGAGTGGAATTAACAACAGCAAATATATATACATATATATATATATATATATATATACACATACATATATAACTGGCTTTTTTATTATTTGTGTTTCCAGCAGTGTTTTTAGATGGCTAGGTTAGGAAGACAGAACAATGAGGGAAATAGTGCACTTTGCGATTTAGGTTGCCTCAGAAAGATAATTTCAACCCTTTTTTAGAAGCAACCACAGGAAGGCAAAAAAGGACATGGAATAAAGCACGTCTCAGCACAGCAGTTAGTCAGAAAGCAGAAATCTCAATCTATCTTCCACACAAGCGCAAAGCATTACAAGTCTGAGCACTAAACATTATTCCTCCCTTTTCACCCTGTTATTTCTCCTGTGCTCATTACACTTTCATCTTGCCCTTCCTTCTGTAAATCACAGAATGGCCAGGGTTGGAAGGGACCTCGAGGATCACGAATCTCCAACCCCCCACCACATGCAGGGCCACCAACCAGGGCCCCGGGCCCCATCCAACCTGGCCTTGAACACCTCCAGGAACGGGGCATCCACAACCTCTCTGGGCAGCCTGTGCCAGCACCTCACCACTCTCTCTGTAAAGAACTTCCCCCAGACATCCAACCTCAATCTTCCCTCCCTCAACTTAAAACCATTTCCCCTTGTCCTGCTATTATCTACCCTTTCAAAGAGTTGGTTCTCCTCCTTCCCTTTAGGTATTGAAAGGTTGGAGGTCACCCCCCAGCCTTCTTTTCTCCAGGAAAAGTAAAGGAAGTAAAATAAAGGAAGGGAAATTTCCTCCTCTCCATCTGATTTTTTTCCTTTCACATTTGCTTTTCCCTATTCACCTGCACATTCCCTGTAATTGCAAAACTTGAAAGACTATGAATCCAATCCTGGGGGGAAATACTAAGCTTGTGCTTGCAATCTTTTACCACGGACAAAGAGCGATTACTTTAAATTTAAGTGTTTGCATTTCTCCCTTTTTCTGAATGAAGTTACAAAATCACCAGGATAAAGTTTAGTACTGAAAATCTACGTAGGTAACTGTAACCTGATCATGTAGAATGAGATCACCGTTCTGCGCAGAGCTCTGCTCATATAGAAAAACAAAATGATTTTTACTGCTTTGGAACCACACGATTATTTCCAAATCATTATTTTTATGCTTAGCTGTTATGTGAAGTGAATCCACCTCTCTCCTTTGGTAGTAATTTTAAATGATGCACTGAATACCTCGGCAAATGCAATGACTCGTATCTTTAAATACTTTACAACGAACATACAGGAAAATACTAAGAAAGAGATTTTAAAGAGCTAAAAAGTTAAGACCAGTATATTGTACACAAATCAAGTTCTTTTTCCCCTGCAACAGTTCCCAAGCAACATTTATTACCTACATCCATGACATACATTTTTAGATGTCAGCTCTTCTAACCACACAATCTATTTCACAAGATTTCTAAAGCAGTGTCATAGCCATTACATCAAATGTTGTTTCACAGATGGTTATCAACACTTTGGTGTTTCACAGATGGGATAAAAGAAAAAAACCCAACACCTGAATTTCAAAAAACCACCAACACAGTAACTTGCATTTAAAGATATCCCCTTAGAAAGTGGCTCTCAATCTCTCTGCAGTCTTGCGGTTTCATGAACAATTTTCAAGTGGGCTGCAAAATAGTAATTTAAAAAATGAAGCATATTGTCAGAAAGCTTCAACGTATCAGCAGTAGGTGCAATCATCCACTGCATTTTTTCATTTTTTTTAAGAAGGTCCTAGATCACAAGGAATTGTGAATTAGATTAGGCTCTAGAAACCCTGAACTGTTCTGCTTCTCGGTAAGTTAAACATTATAAAAAAAACTGTATTTCAGCACAAAGGGAAAAAAAAAATTGTCACGTTCTAACGAACAGGGGGAAGAAGAGTGAACGAACTCCTCTTTGATGAGCAGATTTCAAATGATGGGTTACATCCCACTTGGAGAAGATGCAAACTATCTGGTGAAGCAGAGGCATTATTTATTCCCAGGAGGGGTTTGAGGGGCCTTTTGTACTAGTGTGTGTCCTTGTTTCTGGAGTAAGCAGGAAAGTAAGGTTTCCAGTTCACAATCAGACAAGAAGCTGGGATTCCAGAAGACGTGGGAGAGAACAGGTAGGGAAAGTGTGCAGTGAGCCTGTGTTGCAGAGCCATAGCCATTTTTGGGGTACTGGCTTCCAGCTGACCCCAATGCATTTATCCAGCTGTGACCTCTCCAGCTCCTACAGGAATCCTTTCCTGATCCCTGCCACTAAATCTTTACTCCTATACACTGATCTTCAGCCCTACCCATATACCCCATCACTGCTTCTGTACCCATATGCCTTGCTTATAGGCATATTTATCCTCTCCAATCACCCCCAGACAACACTGGTAAATAACTTTTTTCCATGCTAAAGTGGTAGAAAAACACTCTCCTCTCTTGTTTCTTTCTGACACAAGGCAGAGATTTCCTCCTGACCTTATACCCAGCTTAGCCCTGTGCACGTGAACAAGACAAACCAACCATATGCACTATGCATATTAGAACACTGAAAGGTAACTGCAGAATCATATCAGTTAGCAAAAGACATTTAGTAATAATAATATAAAATTAATAACAACCATATAAAAGCATTCACAAAACTCACTTCCTACATATGTATAAAAAAACAGGAATAGGAAAGATGCAACAAAAAGGGTTACACAGAGCATGCTAGCCTGACAAACTACTTTAATTCCCTTAGAACATTATTACTGTAACTTTTGTTTCCAGTACTATTTTGTTTACATTTCATATAACACATATGCTACAATCTAATTTTAGATTAGACAATAGACTTCTTCAGGATAAACACATTTATACCATTTTAATAAGATTTATAATTTGAATTTATGATTTATAATAATATTATAATTTCTCCACTTCAACACCACTGTGGTTACTAAAAAGATGCACAATATGTTGGAAAAGATATAATCTCCGCAAATTATTTATTGATGTGCTTGTATGGCATTTTTGACGACAGAAAGTAACCTACATTGGGGCAACTGAAAGCATAGCTAATATAAATACATTACGATTCTGGAAAATTGTCAGTGTGGATAACATTAAGAATAGGAGGCTTGATAGGAGGAAGAGGAAGGTTTTTACAATTACCATCCAGACAGCTTATGTAAATTAAAGAGCACAGTCAAACAGAAGTGGATTTTTTTAGAGTAATAAACTGATCTTGTAATAAGACAAGCTAATACTCAGAAGAAAAGTTTGCACCTGCTGATGTTCATAGAAAATCAGAAAAGCATTCAAAGCTGTATATATTTTTTCATTTGATTGAGAAGTCTAATCTTTGTGCGATGGGGATCCAATCCTCACTTCTCAAGCCACTAAATCCACTATTCACGAGCGCAGATGGAAAGGAAGAGGAGCAAAGACTGTTAGTGATACTCAGGACAAGGCAACAGTTAAAAAAGCAGCAGTTCTGTTACTAGTTCCTGGGAAGGACGTGGTGGAACACAAGGTTACTGCTACCAGCTTGATCTTCCTGGCTCCCTCCGGGAACCTCTTGCTGCTGCTTCTCCTGCAGAGGCACGCGGCCTATCTGATGTTGAAAAAGCAGGCAGCGCTCTCTACCTTTTCATACACACCAGAAGAGCAGAGCCCAAATTTCTGGAGCAAGTGATTGCTGTCAGCCCTTAACATTTTTCACAAAACAGCACACGCCCACCTGATAAAACTTCTAATTGAAGGGGCTGTTTAAAACACCATTAGATATGGTTTAGCCCAATTGCTGTTCAACCTATCCAAGTTACCTTGTAGCCCATCAGGGGTTAGCAGACCACAGCTTGGAAACCATTCCTGCTATTTCAGAAATACAATGATGTTCCCTGCTCCCTCCCTCCCTCCCTCCCTCCCTCCAGAACTTCTGGTTGCTGTTTTAATCATTTCTGCTCTTCTATCTGATTTCCCCTAAGATTGATTTTAGGACCTGCTATTTGCTTCTGGCTTTCTGAAGTAGCAGCAAACTGACATTCGCCTTTGCCCATACATTTGTAAACAGAAGCAAGGCCAGTATGACCATAACATTACAGACACAGGATTAGACAGAAGCATAGTTTAAATATTTATAAATATATGTATATATATATATATATATATATATATATATATATATTCAGGTTTAGGAAAAAGGGACCAATTTACATTTGATTCATATTTAAAAACTTATCATCAGACAATAAGGCCTACAAACTTTTATTTACAGAAAAGCTGTAATTCTACACGGGTTGGATTTTGGCCACGGCTGATCCAGGACAAACAGAGATGTGCAGTTTTGTGCCACAAAGCTACAGCAGATGAAACTGGTACCTTCTGCTGCCTTAAAGGACACCTAAGATACAGAAAACAGTGACCAAGGGCTCCTTGTTATTCTGTCCTAAGAAATAGAGAGTTAGAGTCTGCTATTAAATACTTCCCCATATTCATGGTTTCAGAGATCTTCCTTATGTTATTACTCCTCAGCCAATGTTTTTCCAAAAAGAAGAATCTT